TCCCTCTCTCTCTCTCTCTCTCTCTCTCTCTCTGAATTGCCCATTAAGTAGCTTCCCTTTCCTCCCTATTCTTGTGAGAGCTGAGCATATCCTATTCTGTCAAATTTTCTCCAATTTGTCACTTTTCTGCCACTTTCAAACGTGGGTGCTTCTTTCTACAAACTAACTTTACATTTTTTGTTTGGGATTAAAAGTGTGTACCACCACACCTAGACCTAAGCTTTTCTTTACCTGAAACTTGCCCTATACCAGGCTGGCCTTGAACTCAGATCTGCTTGCCTCTGTCTCCTAGACTAAAGGCGTGTTTGAAGTCTATCCAGATCACATAGACATAGAAGGCCTTTGAATGTGGTCTTTTGCCAGAACAGCCATGTTCTGAATTAAAATTCCTCTACATCTCAGAAGCTGCCTCTTTGCCAGTGAATTTCATTTCACTGCTTGGAGTTTCCTGTTATCTTCACCCACTACCTCCAAAACTGCCTGATAACCCTATCAACTAAAGTCTGTTGCTATGTTTGTATCCATGATGCTTTCTCTTAACTATTTTCTCTTTTCTTCTTTTGCATGTCTTGTACATGAAGCAGTGTAGGTCTTGAGCTATGTTTGCCTCTGACAGCACTGTGTTTTCGTATGCTTGGACCATGATGCAGTCAGAGTCTTCCAGAAGACAAGCTGAGGTGCTGCTATGCTGAATCTCTTCAGACTGGCTTGCTCTGTGGTCACTGAGTTCCCAGTCTGTGCTGATGTGACATTAGAGAAAAGTCTCCCCAGGCATGTGAGTGCACCCCTGTGATCACAGCCCTCAGGGGCTGAGATAGGATAGACACCACAACTCTGCCTCAAAATTAAAATAATTACTAGAAAAACAAGCAAAAAAAAAAAAAAAAGTAGTCTTTTACTTGAGCAGAAGTCAATCTGTTGTTTCAGATGTGTTGTGGCCACGTTGAGGAGTCAGCGTTGCCTCCACCAGTGTGTTGAATATAAGCAATATAAGGAGGTGTGGGAGGTGTGGGAGGCTGTGGGGTTCTCTTTAGTCAGGCCCTTGGTCCATATAATACCACGGGAAAATTTTCAGATGGAGCCGCTTGGTCTGAAGTGTAGTGCTCAGCTAGACTGCACTGTGCACTGTAAGTCTGCATGGTCATGTAATCCTCCTGCTTTTCCTCCTGGGTAGAGCAGGCAGTCCTTGGACTCAATACTCACTATGTAGGAGACTTACTCACACTGCCTTCTGTGCAAAGTGCTTGGATCACTACAGTTTATCAGAGCTTCTTTGCGTCTCGGATACTTGTCCTCCCCACAGAAATTCAGCAATTATTTTATCTGGGTTTTCCTCATTTCCACAGAAATGGTCCCTTGTACACTTCCTCCATTGTAGTAGAAGCAGAAGGCCCTCACAGCTCTTAAGTTTCAGGTGAAGAGAGAGAGTTTAAAAAAAAAAAAGAAAGAAAGAAAAAGGAGAAAAGAAGAGACTCTCTTTGTCTTAGTGGTACGCCTCCATCCGTGTGTCAAGAACTCCAAGGATTCTTCAGTACTGAGTGCAGCCCTTCAGTCTTGGGAGCATAACAGACCGTCTGTCCAAATGACAGAGACAGATCTGGGAAGGCTGTGTCCAAAGCAGCATGTCTTCTCCCCTGCGTTAGACTCAGTGGCCACGAGTTCCCCCATCGCCATGTCCAAAATTCAGATTGTTGTAATATGTGTTCATCATCTGTCTAGTTGCTGCTCTACAATCCATGAGGCACGTGTTTCAGGAATAGCTCTTGGATAGCTCTGCTGTGCATTTCTGTGCTTCATACATGCCCCCAGATATAGGTAACAGCTGGGTCACTGTGGATGCCTTTCACCTGCCTCTGGGTTGCTAATGGGGTTTTCAAGTGTCAGGAAATAGCTCTGTCTCCTCTTAGCAATTTAAAGAAGACTCAACTGGCTTCCTTCACTTTTAAAAATAATTTTCTGGAAACCACATCCTTAACAAAGGTTGTAAAAAGAAAGTTAAGTACAGTTGTGCTGGGGAATAATCAGTACCTTCTGGAGAGTGTACTGCTCAGAACATAATGGCTAAAATTTAAAAATATATATTTTGAATTTATCAAATGGAACATTTTGTGCTGAATTAGATTTGAAACTCCATTTTCTTCAGCTATATTTGTAACATGATGGAAGCTTCAGTCGCATCTAACTTTTCATAGGGAATATGTTAATCCATTTCTATCCTACCAATCTATTTTCTTTTAAAGGCTTCCTTGTATTTGCCTTGTGATGAACGCACACAGCTTGTCAAGTGTTATAATTATTTGGTGAATGAAGGGACATGAGCTCTCTGAGATATGCACTCCTCAGCCTAGATCGTATCTACATTGGTAATGCCAGGCTGGTCCTGCAGGAAGTGTCTTGATAGATTTGTGGTTACCTGTTTCCTTCTTAGTTCCATTCAGAGACAGGAAAGCATTGAATGTCTATTGTTTACTCTATGCAAAAGGGTAAAGAGGCGACGCAAAGACCCTTTGCGAGTGTGTGCCCCTATAAATAAAGGGGCTGTGGACAGAGTCCATGATTGAGTGTGTGTAATTGTAAAAACAGTTTGTTCTGTGTGTTTGAGTGCTGTATCCCCAGGATGATTCCCAGGACTGCTGCGGAGAGGATGGAAAGACAGGAAGGAAGTCTTCCTTCCAGGAATTCATTCATCATGTCACACTGATGTGGAGAGCTACAACGGTTAACAATCAGTTTCACTCTTTGCTTCCCATTGTTTCCTAACCTCAAGAAGATGCTTAATGGTCAGAAAGATGCTATTTATAAAATGTGCATCTCTCAAACTGTATCCTGAAAAAGACCACAAGAAAATTTAAGGAACTGTAAAATGTAGACATGGCATGTCGCAGTTGCCATTGTTTCAGGTCTGTGAGCTTGGATTCTTTCTTTTAAACACTATTTATTATCTTTATTTTATGAATGTGAGTGTTTTCTCTGTATGTGTGTCTGTACACCCATGCATGCCTGGTGCCTTCCAATCCCTGGGACTGGGCTAAAGATAGACAGTTGTAAGCTGCCATGCGGGTGCTGGGAATTGATCATTTTGGAGAGCAGGCAGTACCATAACCACTGAGCCAACGCTCTAGCCTTCTTGAATGCTTTACTGATGTTTTTTGGTGAGTGCTTTTATCTTAAATTATTCATGAAAAGTCAAACTAACCATCTTATAAGTTTTTAAATTAAATAATCTCTAAACAATACTGACAAAGTCTATCTGTATGAAAAGCAATCTCCTCTGATTTGCTTTGTTTGGTATATAAGTTTTACTCCCTTTGTATATTTTTTCATCCATAATACTGATCATTTCTAATATATCTGCCTAGGATCTTCTTTATTAACAAATTAAAATATACAATAGAAGCTAAGAAATTAAGGATTTTGTTCCCAACAGAAATGACTAAAGCCACATTAAGCTCACCTTTCTTGCCAGATGGGGTTAATCTTCTGCTGCTAAGTCACATCCCACCCAGGAAGCAAGGAGTTTGTGGATGTGGCTTATGACTCCAGGATCAGTCCAACTCTTGACCTCTTACTCCATTGATTCCTTGAGTAGAGAACTATAGATCAGGTTAGAGTGGAGTTTTCCCCTGGTGAACCTGATAGACTTGAAGCTCTCACATCCACTTCCCAGCACTTCATTCTGGAGGGCTTGAAAACAGGAGCCTTAAACCTTGCTAAGACTTCATTTGTTTCTGTCTTATTCTTTCATTCCTTTTTTTTTTTTTTTTTTTTTTTTTTTTTTTTCCCATAATGGGCTCTGTTTCAATAGCAAGTTCTAGTGCTTTCTTGAACTAATGACTGTGTGGTACTCATACATATTATAGATTGTTCTAAATTAATTATGATTGCTATATTTTAATGATTAAAGGAATCCAAAGTAATAGAAACAATATGAGAAAGGTGAGTATTTCTAGTAGTTTCAATGCAAAACCCAGATGAAAGAGGTCCAACTTTGGTTGCGTCCTTCGCCATCTATACTTTCGTGATGTGTCTGCTAGGAACCATGTATGCTATATACTTGTACTTTAAGGATAAACTGCGTGAGGTCAATGATAAAGAGTTGAAATATACCTAAGAAATATTTTATGTGGAAAATCATGAGCTGGAAAGGCATTCTCAGAATCAAGGGTATATGTACAGTAATACATGTGACCATTTTTATGGTGCCCAATCCTAACAAAGGCAGTTCAAGGTTCTTTTGTAGGGTAGGCACCTCCCGGTGATGATCAATGGGACTGGAAAAAAAAATCATTCAAAGCAGCTGTGTATTTGCAGTCTGTAGTCAAAGGACAGGCTGCCAGGTGACAAGCAGATGAGATCATGGTGACAGGGGAAATCCTCATGGCAGTCAGCAGTATGGTTTTAATGACCGCACTAAGTTGCGTGTAGTAGTCTAAGTATTTGGAAGTTGAAGTGCTCCTCACCTGATTTGACTCAACAATCTCCAGCAGCTCATAGAACATGGAAGACCTCTTTCCTCCAGGAGAGTAGAGGCAAGTAAATGCAGTAGGTGACTGAGGATAATGTGCATTAAAATCACAAATTGTTCTAAATGGATATTGACTTACATAGGTAAACAGTGCCACAAGGGAAGAGCAGGACTCCTCCAAATTATTCTTAGTGTGTAAAATCTAAGCTGTACTCCACAGTCATATGGAGTAATTAATCACTACATTTAGGCTCTCCATCTTGCTGGAAATTTACTGGAGTGACCTTGGACAAGTCACATCACCACTAAGTCATTGCTGCCATGTTGGCTGCTTGTTGAATTTTAAATTACATTCATCCTCAGGATAAGTAAATTTATCAAATACTGTTTATATTTTTAAAGTATTTATCTGATATGTAAGTCACACTGCTCTAATCGTGGTTCTATATCCATGATCATTCTGGTACTTCCAGAGGTATGCTGAGTGCTCTGCATGCACCCCAAGTTAACTTACATTTTCTTTTCTTTTCCATAGAGCAAATCGGCCAGGAGATGTTGGAAAACCTTAGTCATGACAGAGAAAAGATACAGCGAGCACGTGAACGAGTGAGTATGAATCATTTCATCATTTACATGTTCATAAATAAGAAGACACAAAATAATGCTTTACATTGTTTTGTGTCCATCATTGGGGTGGACACAAGACAGTAATGCCACAGCTCTAAGTACAAGTGCAGAAGAGTGGTGAGGGTGAGCAAGAGCCAAGAGAAGGAAGAGAAAACAAGGGCGTGAGATGACTGAAAAGTAGATGGCTCTCTCCTCATCTCAGAATTCGCCCAGATAAATAACTCCCTGACTAAGGGAGGAAGGCCAGTAACGAAGATTTGGTGGTGTATCGATCTTTCAGAACAAAGATTATGAAAATACTGACCTTCATCCTTTATCAACTTCAATTTATTTCCATTTACATTTTTAGGACTTTGCATATTAAATATTAATTACCAGAGGAAGGTTAAACCCTGCCTGTCTATGAGGTATTTGCTTTTATATCCAATTCAAGTATCCATTTTAAAGTTCCTGGAATCCCTCATGTCATTCTCCAAACCTAAGAACTGTGAGTCTCTGCTTGTGCTGCTGGGCTGTTTTTAGTAACTGGCCTTCAGTTACTCTTCAGATACTCTAGAGTCATCTGAGTGCCTATGCTCAATTCTGTTTTCTTTTGTTTCCACGTGTTTTTCCCATTTAGCTTCGGGAAACAGATGCAAACTTGGGGAAAAGCTCCAGGATTCTGACAGGGATGTTGCGAAGGTAAGAGCCAGGTAGGGAATGATCTTGTTTCTCTTTAACTGTGGTGTTCCCCTCCTACCCACCCCCACTCCCACCCCAACTCCCCACCTCCATCCCCCCACCCCCGTTGGATTGGGGCATTTCACAGGCTGCTGGATTTGTGCTCTTTCCTCCTAAACTGTGTCAACACCCTTTGAAATAACAGAGCACTGATATTAACCCTTTTTTGTCAGAGACATATAATGGGTAATTCAGATTAGGGACAAGACTTTAGCTAGGGCCTACCTCAACCTATGGAAAAGATTAGGGTTAAATAAGAAGCAGCTTTTATAGCCTGAGGAAGGTCCATGGCAGGAGCACATGGGCTTTCCTCTTCCTTCTCATGGAGGGAACACAGGCCTACCATCTTGCAGAGAACACTGAGTGCTGGCTTTGCTCACTTTTACCTTATTTCATTGCTAAGAAGAAAGCTGCTTGGGAAAACCCTGTGACTTCATGTACATATAAGAATGTCACTATTATCAGAGTAATCTGAGCTCATATGTGCCCACAACAAATGTTTTAAGTACTATGTGACTAAGCTTTGATTGGTAGGAAACATTTGGAAGAACATAAAAAGGTAAATGAATGAAGATGGGTCATATTCTAAGTGTTTTGCAGTTACTTATTTTATACTAATGCTCTAGAAAGTAAAACAGTCATTTACTGTGATATGTGAGCTTGGAGCTGTGCATGGCTAGGTGAATGAGGAGTGCTGATAGTGACCCCAGGAAGAACAAACTCTTCTTTGCAAACTACTGTTCTGAAACAGCTAAAGCCCTCTCCGCTCGTGCATCCCTGTACAGCACGTGCTAAACATTTATTGTGTAAGAGCCAAGGAAATATATAGCTGTTACGTGTTGAGACTGGTGTGATTCTCTGTGACCCCATCTGTGGTGACCCTGTTCCTTCCCTGGAGTCCCCGTCCCAACTCAGAACAAAAACCTGCAGGATCTTTGCTTGAGAGCAGTATATAAACGACCTAAGAAAGAGTCGAAGTCCAAAGAGAGGAGCATTAGCAACTGAAGGAATGCTTCAGTGCCTAAAGACAATGAAAAGAGAGCAGAGCTGCCTCTCCCGCCTCCCTGGGAGGCCCCTGCCATATGAGCTGTAACGAGCATTCTGCATATGTCTCCATTTTGTCAAATCTCATTAAAGAGTCTTCCTGCTTTCTGTCGATTGAGCTGTCCAGAAATCATTCATCATTTTTAGTGTTAAAAAAAAACCTTGTGGTTATTTAAATAATATCATATTAATGTTAAAGTTCAGCTGTCACTTGATAGTATGGCTTAATCAGATGTAGCATTTAGGAAAAACAGTTTATTCCGGCTCTTCGTGGCTTTCAGGTTGGCAGATTCAAATAAGGATTTATGGCTTTCTAAACCCATGTGCTTCTGCCCACATTTCTGCTTGATGTACCTCACCCATAGTGCAGGACACTGCACAGAGTCATCTCGACAGATCGAACACCCTTTCATATTGTGTTTGAATAAATTCCCAAGCCATTTAGAGAAGGTGAAAACACAGCTTGTGCAGCCTGTGGGCTTTCTGGAGGGAACCACACTCCATGGGGGCTCCGCATGCCTGCCGAGGAGAATGACTCAGATGCAGTCTACCCGGGCTCCCTTTGTAGGTGAACTCAGCTCTCTACTGATCCACCTCCTCTGTGGGTGTGTCTAGAGCAGTGGTTCTCAACCTGTGGGTCAAGACCGTTTTGGAGTCACATGTCAGATAAAGTGCATTTCAAATGTTTATACTACACAACAGTAACGTTTGAACATAACAGTAACATAACAGTAATAGTTTGAAGTAGCAACAAAATAATTTTATGGTTGGGGTGGCCAGCATAACATGAGGAACCGCATTAAAGGGTTGTAGCATTAGGAAAGCTGAGAACTGCCGGTGAAAAGGGAAAATCCCCCAATGGACATGCTGTGCCTGAGCCAAGGATGCTCCAGGCTCTCTTGGTGCTCCGTGTAGGACAGTGTGTTTCACTAGACACAGCTGGCATGTGGGTATCTGCCAACACACCAAGAAAAGCACTTTCAGTCAGTGCTGTAACTCAGGCTTTGGGAGCCAGATGCAGAGTGGTGGGTTAGGGTTTTGTTTCTAATTACTATCCCACATGCTGGACAGTTATTTTGCTGCTGGAGAAAATGCAAACATTTTGCCAACCATTTCATTATTTGGGACTCATTTCCAAAAAGTCTCTCAAGACAGAGGACCAGTGCTCATTTGTGTACTGGCTCTGGCTGATGTTTTGTCCTCCTTTCTATCTCCGTGTTCACATGGCATTCACTTCCCAACACGGAGGTGGTGTATTGCAGAAGACACTACCTTGTGACCCCTTGTTCACACTAGTGCTGCACAGTCACATTGGGTGGCAGCAGGGGCTTCTGACTGATGGAAGAGTCTCATAGTGAACCCTGTGCTCACAGATCATCTTCACGGATGTGTGAAAGAGAGAATGTCTCTGAATCGTGCTTTTACGTGATCTTTATATGGTAAATTTTGTGTGGCTGAAAACAAATACATACCAGATAATTCTTATACAGAAAGATTCCTGGTTGTTTTAATTTTTGCTTTTAAATTTGTGCTATGAACAGAAATGGCAGGACATCATCCATGAGCTATCAGGTCACTTAACAGTGTCTAGTCTGTCCTGAAGACAGGGGGCCTATGTTTGTCTGCACCAACGCCTATACCTGTGTCTACTTAGCCATCTAGTAGAATGACCAAATTAAGTAAACAACGAAGTTTACAGTACCCAGAGCTTCTAAACCACCACCACCCATGCCTTTTAATCTTTTATTAGCTTCCTTCCTTCCCTCATGTACCTGTCTTTTCTTTCCTTTATTTCCCCTTCCTTATTCATATCTTCAGTAAATATTTAATATCTGTGTGCACAGCCCAGGGATCCAGAAATACAAACACATCTTTCTTTGCTTGTATGGTTCCTCGGTGTAGAGAGAATGTGTACAAAAAAATTAAATTATAGAAATTACCTAGTTCTCAAGGAAATTGCTGTCATCCTCCAACTCTGGACTCCTCCTTGCATGTCTTTTAGAAGGATCCAGAAACACTAAAAACCAGAAAAAATAAATACATTAGGGAAATGGAATATGGTTTGTTTAATCATAAACTAAAAATGTTTTACCAAAAAAAAGTAAGTTATACAGAAAATATTAACAAGTCTAGGTTAGTGAAATGGCAACTGTTCCAGGCAAGCAGGAATTTTCTTTCATGTAGATATACCATCTTTCCAAAGAAAGAAAACAAGGTTGAAAATTGGTCCATTCAGAATTATAATAGTAAAACATGATATCAGAATGAAGCCGTAGCTGATTCCTGGAAGGTAATTTTTCTTTTCTCTTGACATAGATGGAGAGCTACCTCGGGACAGACTGTTCATTTCCTGGCTCTCTAGACAGACTTTAAATAAAATGGGATTCAGATAATAATGAAAATAGCTACAAAACAAATAGCCATTCATGTGGTAACTAGGACCAAGGAATGGATTTCTCATTGGCTCTCACAAATGTGATTATTGTAATTGGCTGTCCCCAGGTGTGTTGGATATCACTAGGGGCTCAAGTGTCTCTTCCCATGTGTACATAGACATATGTATATGCTGATGTACTCAGTAATGAGCATATGTGTTTCAATGCATCTGACTGGGAATCGGTTATTTTAACTGGGATTCTTGTTGTTGTTGTTGTTGTTTTTCTAGACAGGGCTCTCAGTGCAGCTTTGGCTGTCCTGGAACCCCACTCTGTAGACCAGGCTGGCTTGGAACTCAGAGATCTATCTGCCTCCCAAGTGTTGGGATTAAAGGTGTGAGCTACCACCGCCTGCCTATAACTAGGATTCTTATTATATCAGAGAGTGATGAGAATCAATAATAATAAAATTAGAGATTTTCAAGTCTTTTGTTCAAAAGGAAAGGAATTATGATTCTGTTTCCTACACCTCTGAAGAAGAAAATGATAATTCATAATTTATCATCCCTAAAAATACCTGTGTTCTTGTAGAATGCAAAAAGCTATAGTCTGGGAGCTCCCTTGGCATGAAGTTAGAAGACATATTGCAACCATATGTGCCAAAAGCATCATCTGTGCTGGTGCCCGGGTCGCAGCAGGAAACAGCTTCTGTATGATGAGCTCAGTGTCATACACGTCACAATGGTCGCCATACATGCCATCGGGGTGCTTCCTTCAGCAGTGAGTTCTGTCTCCTTATGGTTTGCAGGCCTCCTCTCACAGGGGTGCTACCAGTGTGTCTTCCGCAGCTGACCCGTGCACTCACGTTACAGTTACTACAGCCTGGGGAACAACAGCACCAGCCCTGCGATCACGTAATGTCTAACCATGGTTCCTTGTGTTGGTAGAATGGCAGATAAACATAAATGTATGGTCAGGCTCTCCATAAGGTGTGAGAGATGTTCACTGCAGTTTAGGCTCCTTAGAGGTTGACGCCTCCTTGACCACAGTCCACAGGAAACACTGTGCTGTGTTCTAGGTGTTCTTGTTGCAGCGGAGACTCAGCCAAGCTTTCAAGACTGTAAGAAAGGGGCCTTAGACATGCGCCCTTGAATGGCTTTTTACCCACAGGAGAAAGCACCTTCTCTTGAAAAGGATCACTGTCTTTTTCCTTTTGATCTCACCCTTTCCTTCCTGACCTGGGTCGCTCACTAGTGATGGGCATGACACTGACTTGCTTAGTGCCTCTGGATCTCAGCCTGGAGCTTTTCCAGCCCTTCATCAAGTGGACCTCTTTCCAAAGAAATGGATTGACCTTCTGTTCATTCTCGAGCTCCAGGTGAGACCTGAGCTAGGTACACGCAGCCACAAGGAAAGGAAGCTTCCTTCTTGGTCCTGTGTGTTTGAATAACTGTCCTGCTCATCAGTTGGACTGCCGCCTCTGTCCTGTAGCCTCTTCAAGGCCAACATGGTAGTCCTTCACCAAGTTAAACAGTAACTTTT